CATACACAACACACATGGATTCACATTTGACTGTGTAATCTGCATGAAAATGCTGCCAATCGATCACTGGAAATATTTATTGATGTTCCTTTCAGCATGAGACTGCGGCCAGGCTAAAGAAGTCAGTGCATTAATCATCTGAAGTGAAGAGAAGAGAACATTACACCACGAGACATACTGCAAAGTGCCTACGGTTTTGCAAAGGCCATCAGATCGCATTCAGCTAATCAGGAACAGTAATATTGGTTAAAGGGGTCATATGATGCTGCTAAAAAGAACATTATTTTGTGTATTTGGTGTAATGCAATGTGTTATGCGGTTTAAGGTTAAAAAAGCACATTATTTTCCACATAATGTACATAATTGTTTCTCCTCTATGCCCCGCCTTTCTGAAACGCGTCGATTTTTACAAAGCACATCAGTCTGAAAAAGCGAGGTGTGCTCGGATTGACCAGCTATCCAGTGTGTTGTGATTGGCTGAATACCTTAAGCATGTGACGTAAAGGTTACGCCCCTCACCATACTGTGTTTCCATCATACAGTCTATGGTTTCCATGTGTCCAGGCGCGACGAGACAAAACCAATAAAACCCATTACAAACGAGGCATTTGTTGCATCCAGTGGGGACATAATTACTGATTGTAATGACTTATACTGTGTTTTTATGCTTTGCGTTGCGTATTGCGCTGCGTAAACATAAAACCATGTCTGCATTTGTGATCGGAGAAATGACAAAACAATAAGAGCTACTCTACACTGCTCAAACTCGTGTTTGAAACATCAGTGGCAAATTATTTAAATATAAAAAACTTACTTACAGACTGTGAGTCAGAAGCGCCAGACTGTCCTTGCAAAGTTGGAACTGCCCCACTTTATAGAAACATTATGTCCTCTTTTGGAAGGCCAAACAAAGTAGCTTAGCTTTCGCATGAAGGCCAAGCAAATTAGTTTCACTTTCACAATGAAACACACAGCATCTCCACAACATGGCGGCGGCGGCAACAATACTACAGCGAGAATAAAAGTTATGCCTTCTTTCTTTGTGTGAACATTTGGGCGGCGTTATGCAAATCTTCCCACATAGTGATGTAGATATGTAGGTGTGGCTGACTCTTAACTTTTATAAAGAATATCTCTTTGGATTTGAGACTTTAGTCTTTGCAACTAAAGTTGCAGTACAGATTATGCACCAAGAGCTTGTAACACTCCAAAGAGAAAGGAAAAATTGAAATCGCATCATATGACCCCTTTAATAAGCTAAAAGCGGACAGCTAAAATAGTCTATAGCCCCAGTTTCTTTCATGCCTTTCCAAACCTGTATGACTTCCTTTTTTCGGTAAAACACAAAAGAAGGTACTTTGACGCATAAAGAATGTGTTTTTTCTTTTTTCATCCACATTCTTAAAAATAAAGCTTCCAAAAGAAGTTTTTCATAGTGGTGCCGTTTTGGTTCCCACAAAGTTATTTTCTTGTGTGAAGAATATTTTAGTAATCCACAATTAAAAATAAATGTTCTTTATTGGCAATGATGATTACATGAAGAAGATAAAATGATCTTCACATTAAGAAAAATGTTTTTTTTATAAGAGCTGTTCACTGAAATGTTCCAAAAATGGTTCTTCTATAGCATTTCTGTGAAAAGCCCTATTTAGAAACTTTATTTTTAAGAGTGTAAATAACCTTTTTCACTATAAAGAACCTTTTGTGCAAAGGAAACATTCTATAGTTGTTAAAGTTTTTTTTTTTAAATATATATATATATATATATACTATATATATATATAGAAAGAGAGAGAGAGAATCTTTAAGAGTAATGCAATTCAAGTCAGTGGGGTCCAAAGTTTTGGCCCTTATTGACTTTCATTCTATGGACAAAAAGTTGAAACATTCTTCAAATATGTTCTTTTTTTTTGTTCTGCAGAAAATAAAAAAGTCATATGGGTTTGGAATGATATGAAGGTGAGTGTCACAACAGAATTTACATATCTGGTTCAACTATCGCTTTAAATTTTGTCCGTTGCTCACAAAAATAAGTCTTACAAAAAGCATGAGTTGTATGAACCACGTTTTTTTTTCTCTTTTTACCAGCTCCAGTCACCATATTTAATAATTGCATGGAAAAAATTACCAGTAAATTCTTCAAAACATAGAAGAAAGAAAGTCCTTCAGGTTTGGAACAACATGAGGGTGAGTAAATGATTTTGAACCCAACAGTTAGTGGTGTAAACCAGCCTGGAGAAACACAACCATACTTGGCTGCTAATTACATACAAATTACTTGTGATGGGACCAGGACGATGGGTGGTCAAAGTTCAATAGCTTTGGTTCAAGTTTAATGGCGCTCAAATCACCAGGGTTCCTTCTCCGAGGGCCCGTGAATGGCTAATGGCCATGACCGAGAGTGCGAGGGTCGCATCTGGATCATTTCCATGACAATCAGGGTGGCGTTGAAGTAGGTGGGGCAAACGAGGATGCGCTCTGAGATATAATAGTTGGATGTGTGGTATGGCATCTGTCCACCCTCGTTGAGATTCTTGATCTCTTTGACCAGTCAGTGTTGTGTTATTAAAATCGCCCTCCAGTCATGGGATTAGGGAGGGGTAGGAGCCAGTCAAAATGATATCCCGAAATGCACTACTGCAAGGTGGCATTGAACAGCTCAGCACGACTACAGCACAGGGGGCTGGAAATGCAGCAATTAGTCCTTTCTGTCTCTCCGTGCACTATAATCAAAAGCTCTGGGGATGCCGAACATGCTAGGGTGATAACATGATTCAGATCTCGCCTCATTATGCATCTTCACATGGTGGACAGGTTAGCTCTCGGCTTTGAGAACAATGGAATGTACTTGAAGTTAAACTACAGTGAATCAAAATAATCAAACTCACTCAATTTCTTTTAAGAGTGTAAATAACCTTTTTCACTATAAAGAACCTTTTGTGCAAAGGAAACATTCTATAGTTGTTAAAGTTTTTTTTTTGAAATATATATATATATATATACAGTATATATATATAGAAAGAGAGAGAGAGAATCTTTAAGAGTAATGCAATTCAAGTCAGTGGGGTCCAAAGTTTTGGCCCTTATTGACTTTCATTCTATGGACAAAAAGTTGAAACATTCTTCAAATATGTTCTTTTTTTTTGTTCTGCAGAAAATAAAAAAGTCATATGGGTTTGGAATGATATGAAGGTGAGTGTCACAACAGAATTTACATATCTGGTTCAACTATCGCTTTAAATTTTGTCCGTTGCTCACAAAAATAAGTCTTACAAAAAGCATGAGTTGTATGAACCACGTTTTTTTTTCTCTTTTTACCAGCTCCAGTCACCATATTTAATAATTGCATGGAAAAAATTACCAGTAAATTCTTCAAAACATAGAAGAAAGAAAGTCCTTCAGGTTTGGAACAACATGAGGGTGAGTAAATGATTTTGAACCCAACAGTTAGTGGTGTAAACCAGCCTGGAGAAACACAACCATACTTGGCTGCTAATTACATACAAATTACTTGTGATGGGACCAGGACGATGGGTGGTCAAAGTTCAATAGCTTTGGTTCAAGTTTAATGGCGCTCAAATCACCAGGGTTCCTTCTCCGAGGGCCCGTGAATGGCTAATGGCCATGACCGAGAGTGCGAGGGTCGCATCTGGATCATTTCCATGACAATCAGGGTGGCGTTGAAGTAGGTGGGGCAAACGAGGATGCGCTCTGAGATATAATAGTTGGATGTGTGGTATGGCATCTGTCCACCCTCGTTGAGATTCTTGATCTCTTTGACCAGTCAGTGTTGTGTTATTAAAATCGCCCTCCAGTCATGGGATTAGGGAGGGGTAGGAGCCAGTCAAAATGATATCCCGAAATGCACTACTGCAAGGTGGCATTGAACAGCTCAGCACGACTACAGCACAGGGGGCTGGAAATGCAGCAATTAGTCCTTTCTGTCTCTCCGTGCACTATAATCAAAAGCTCTGGGGATGCCGAACATGCTAGGGTGATAACATGATTCAGATCTCGCCTCATTATGCATCTTCACATGGTGGACAGGTTAGCTCTCGGCTTTGAGAACAATGGAATGTACTTGAAGTTAAACTACAGTGAATCAAAATAATCAAACTCACTCAATTTCTGATATGTTTGCATGCTTTTTCTTTCAATATACATTATATTATATTATATTAGATTAGATTAAGTTGTAGCCACTGACTTCCATAGTATGGAGAAAAAAAAAATACTCGAGTCAATGGCTACCATTTGGTTACCCACATCCTTTAAAATATCTTCTTTTGTGTTCAGCAGAAGAGAAGAAATTCATAAAAGTTTAGAACAACTTGGGGGTGAGTAAATGATGACGTTTTGGGTTGAACTATCCCTTTAATGAACTCCATTACTTCTCCAGAGCTATACAGTATGAAAGCACAACCTTTGAGTTTCTGCAAAAAAGCCTTTTCTTAATCAGTGTTTTTGTCTTGAATTCCAGTAACTCCCTCTTGAAACAAGAAAATTAAATTGAGCAGCAAGCCTGTGTTAATAAGACTTGTTTTCAGAGAATTTAATTATTTCTTTTTCATGCACAAACTTTTTAGATATTAGATTTATGCTTAAAAGAAGAAGAAGGGAAAAAACTGTCAATGGGGTAGGAAAAGTAAACTTAATTCAAGTTATATTCTCAGAAAACAAAAAGTCTTAATGTTTTATTCGATTTTAAAATATTTAGATATTGTAACTGGAAAACAAAACAAAATGACTTATTGTGAAAATTATCTTTTGCAATGCATATTTATGCACAAATAATGCTTTAACAATGGAAAAATAATGGGGTAAGAAAAATAAACTATTTAAGATGCATTTTCTGGAAGCATGCCTTGTTTTATTAAATTCTAAAAGGATGTTTTAACCGGAAAACAAGACAAAAATACTGATTAAGAAAATTATTATTTTTTGCATAGAAATACAATTTTCCTCTGGGAAAAACAAAGTCCAAGGGCTGACTGTAGAAACGCTCTGTCTCACATCATTGAGTTTGCTCCTCAAAGGTAGCGCATGGAGGAGAACAGCAGGGAGGAAGGTTTATCGAAAGCAAAATGGTGATGCATGTGTTGTTACTGCCTTCAGGCCCTGCTGATGCTTTCTTTGAAGAACCTAATAATGTGAGTTCTTGTTTGGTCATGCAGCAGCTGTGTTGGAGTTGGCAGGTGGTTAAACGGGTGACCAGGGGACTGGATGGCTGGCTGCAGTGTCTCGGCGTCTCTCTCCCCCTGAGTCCAGGTCTCTGGCTGGAACACGGTGACCTATAGCTGCTCTTGGCAGGGCCGTGGGGTTACCAAAAGGGCAGAACTGCTCTCCGAATCGGGCATCTGTGAGTTATTCCCCCTCATACTGATTGGTGTTGGAGTCTTTTAGCCATCTTCTTCTGATTTAGCATTCCCTACTGTACAGATTCCCTCACAAACAATCACACACACTATAAAGGTTCTTTCACGTGATTTATACAAGTGTTTCCCAAGACTGCAAAAAATTAGTTTTTTTAAAAAGTATTTTTATTTATTTATTTATTTTTGTTAAATAGTAAAACTATCTAAAACCCCCAAAACAACATACATTCACTTAAGTAGCAACATTGCATGATCTATTAGGACTTGTTTCGTGAATTGTATGTTTACTATTTTATTACACTGGCAGACTTTTCCCACTTGTATTAAGTATAAACAGGTTAAATGTGAAAAGGCAAAAGAAAGTGAAGATTCACTACCATTCGGAGGTTTTGGGCCAGTGGGATTTTTTTAAAGGAATTAATAGTTTTATTAAGGATGGAGAGGCTGCACTGATCAAATGTGACGAGAAAAACATTTAGAATGTTATAATAGATTTCTATTTCAAATAAAGGCTGTTCTATTCGTCAAAGAATCATGAAAATATATATTTTGGTTTCCACAAAAATATTAAGCAGCACAACTGTTTTCAACATTGATAATAATAGGAAACATTTCTTGATAATGGCTGCTGACAATTCAGCTTTGCCATCACAGGAATAAATTACTAAATTAATAAAAAAAATATATGAAAATAGAAAACAGCTACGGATAGTAATATTTCACAATATTACATTTTTTACAGATTTTTTTATCAACAAATATTACTGATCCCAAACATTTAAACAATAGTATACATTCTCTGAAATCAAATATTAATATTTTATTCAGTGTTGCTTCTTAAGTAAAAAAAATAATGCTTTTTTACTAAAAATTAAACAAAAATACTTAAGAATTTAACAAAGTGTCTAACTTACAGGTCAAGCGTTGCAATGAGTTGTTCAAAGTTCAAACAATTTCAACTTTAACCCTGGTTACTGCTGACCTTTCCAAGCACAGCCGATGATAACCGTACATTTTTTTTTATCATTTACTGCGCACACATCCTGCTTTCCTGTCTGTCTACAACACTTTTCATGCGGAGGTCAAAGTGGTGTATAAAGCTTGTGTTGAAACAAAATGTGTTGAAGTTCTGACGTGAAAAGTCTCAGATCGCAGCATGAAGCTTTCGTTAAACCCATAGGCACTGTAAGAAAACAAAGAAGAGAATTCAGTTGTGCTCTATCTCTTTCTTTCTTTTTCTTTTCCCATCAACCATTTGTTATGCATTTGTCTCAGCTTATGTTATCCAAACATCCATCGCGCGTGTCCCTTGCTGCTAACAGCACAAAGGCACATGCCACAATGGGGCTGTCCATATCTTGATATATTCAGCTGTTTACTCATTCACACAGCGTGCTGGCTTTTATCCTGCGCGCTAAAGGAAGCCATTGTGGTGAAGTGGCATTAAAAGGCTTACAGTTATAAAGTAGCTTGTGCTCTCGCACTCTTCTGCACATGAGCTGGTCAGGATGTGACACGCTCAGCCATTAAGCTTATTAACCAACTCACAGTTGCTTTTCCACTAAGTCAACTTCCAAGCACTGATACGCTTGAAACGGCAGTTTGGGAGAAGGAAAAGAGAGCCTCATGTCTGTTCGCTTGGTTTCATTAATATGTGTTTGGGAATAACTAAATAAAATAATGAATCTACTTGCTATTTTTTTCATTAGATGGTAATGAGACAAAATTGCTATATTGGCTTTCCTATAATTTGTTACACATTATTGCACATGCTGGTTTACCGCTAAAAACTGAGGTACTAATCAATGATGTGACGATGTGATCATTATAGCTGTTCATAAATAAATAAAAAATGCATTTCATACAGAGAACGAATCTAATACATTTTCATTTTATTTTTAAGCTAAACATTTGTTAATTAAATTTTCAGATTCTAAATTTTAAAAATCCTTTTAATATTTTTTTGTGAGGATTAACATAAAAACTATATACAATTTTATGTAATTGCATATATTATTTATTGTTATTATTACAAAAACAATTGCCCACCAAGTCAAAGCCAGTGTGGTGTAACCAACTTGCTTTGTTTTTTTTGTTTTATAGGATTTCTTCTTTTCATCATTTTGAAATCTTTGTGTTTTTGAACCTTAAATATCCACTCCCTCTCTTAAATAAAATATTGGGGAAGTCTGAATCATTTTAGTGAATCAGTTCATTTAGATTCTAACACAACTTGATTCATTCAAGTTCCTGCACAGATATCTTCTGTATGCATCACATTTTTGTACCAATATACAAATACTACAGTGTTTTTAAATATAATTCTATTATATTTCAATTCAGGGTTCACTAACTTTTTGTTAGTAGCTGGTAGAGTAGCAAACTACTTCAAAACAGCAGCTTGACTGTAGTTGAACTACTTTAAATCATGACTTGCTTGTAGTTTGACAAGCTACGGTTTCAAAGTAGCTTCCCCAGCACTGCTGTTTGGGATATTTTGCATATAGTTTTGGGTCCTTGGTTGTCATCTTGACAGAGACAGATGAGTCATACTCGACTCGCATGTCTCCTCTGTTGAAATAGATGCCACCAGTATGTACCCTTGCATAAGTTTTTTTCAAGCTGAGACTTAAGAGTATGCAGGAAGCAGAGCTGGGCTTCGATTGGCAGCTTCACAAATTGTCTCACATTCCAGTTGGGATGTTCAAGAAGCATGGACACAGCTGCTACGCTTCTGAAGTTTTGGGACAAATGTCACATAATGAGAATCGACTAAAATATGAAAACGGTTCGGGATGGATGCCGGGCGCCCTGCACTGTCTCTTTCGTTGTTGTTGTAATATTTCAACCAAATGGAGGGGCTGTCTTTTTAATCTGACCTTGTGCAATGGTTTGTGTTAGTTACGGCCACTGATGAGAAAAATTTACATTAATGACAGATACGTCACTTTGAGTAACTCTTCCTTCAGTTTTTATGCTTTCAGAGAGTCTGGGACAGCCAGAGAGAGAGATGGGCCAAGTACGTTGACACTGATGGCATCATATGCACTCATGCTGAAAGGTTTGTCATGGCGTTTTTCCGGTGCAGAAGAGCTTTTAGATGCTCACACCTGAAATCCACATTCACATCGTTTCTATTAACCTCCCCGTTCTTCGCACACACATTCACGTCCCCTGATGTCCTGCTCTGGCCCATGAATCAGCTTTTCTGTTTGGAATTTGTGCTGTTTGGGTGTGTGTGAGAGCACATAAAAGTATGTGCCAGTTCCCGCCCCTCTGGCTAGAGCCTCCATGTGACATCAAGCAGTAATGTAGCACTCTCCCGCTTGCCAAACTCAGGACCTCATCACTGGATCTCTCCCCTGGCTAGGATGCCTCTCCCTGGGTCTAATTGCTGGCTCTCTCCCCAGACATCCATGCCAAGCTCTGGGGCTAATTGTTAGCATTCCCCTCTGGCAGAGAGGCATGGCTGCATCTCACCAGCTGAATTATCACAGGTGGAGTTTGGTTTTCCAGGAGCCACACTGCCCAGTGAAAGTCCACTCTATGCAGTGATAGTAAGGAGATACAATCAAAATGAAAAATGAATGAGAAAACGAGAAATGAGAAAAATGAAAATTCTGTCATGATTTACTCTCCCTCAAGTTGTTATAAACTTTTATTACACGGCTCTGTGCAATACTTGATTCTGATTGGTTAGTCGCGACATTCCGAGGTATGTTATCCCTCAATAACAACCGGTAAAAGCTAATAACACAGGCTCATCCGGGTAACTGCAGTCGGTGCTGTACTCTTGCTAGGAACAGTTTTTCTTTGTGGAAGCTTTGTGTTTGGTTAGCTAATAAAATATTAAAACTTAATTCAATATTGTGTGTTCAATTATTTAATTATGTCATCCTGGTATCGCGAACTCGCTCTCTCGTTTCATACAAATGCAGCTGCTGCCATTTTGTGACAACTGTTTTGTACACTGTAATGGATTATAAGATAACATACTGATACGATTTTAAAACAATTTTGTCTTAAATCAATATATTTTATCGCCATAAACATTTATGTGGTGAAATGTGTAAAAAGTGGTAAGACTGCACCATATCCCTTAAATGTCCGTCTAGTTTAAACTTGCCGCTTGCTGGCAACTGCTGCCTTCACGGAAGCTTTGCATTCAAATATTTCAACTCAAATCAATATTTCGTGTCTAATTATTTACTTATGTGGATTGATGCTTTTGAGCTCCAGGAATGACCTTAAAAACAAACCATTACTCCAGTCTTCAGTGTCACATGATCCTTCAGAAATCATTCTAATATGCTGATTTGGTGCTCAAGAAACATTTCTTATTATAATCCATGTTAAAAAAAAGCTGTGCCACTCAATATTTTTGTGGAATTTTGACACACAACAAAAGGTTTGGGGTAAGTAATAACTTAATAGAACTTAATAGTTTTATTCAACATGAACAGATTAAATTAATCAAATAAAGACAATAAAGACATTTTTTATTTTAAATAAATGCTGTTCTTTTGAACTATTTCTATTCACCAAAGAATCCAGAAAAAAGTATCATGATTTCTACAGAAATATTAAGTATCCCCGTTATGGCAAAGCTAAAATTTTATATCAAATATAAAAAAAAAAAATATATATATATATATATATATATATACTGTACATATATATATGGTATTTTTAAGTTGATTTGTCTTTACATAAAGTTATTGTATGACTTCAGAATGCTTGGGATATATGGGCCTTTTTTTATTTGGGGGTATGGGGGTTGAAACAACACGAGGGTGAGTAAATGAAGACTAAGTTTTTATCTATTCCTTTAATGATAGCGGTAGGAAAGGACACAGGAAACGATGGGGAAACCGGATCAAGAGCCTGCATAATAATCTGCGATGTGTGACGTGTGGGAGCATGTGCACTACCCACCAGACCACATCTCTGACAGCATATTTTATGATGACTTACATGAATCAGT